GCAGAGCTAGGCCGCTCACCTAAGTCAGTGAGCAAGAAGGTCAGCCAGCGGAGCTCCTGTGCCGCCATGGCACCAACGTAGATCTCGGCCTCACAGCTGGACTGGGCAACAGACGAGGAGCGGGTAGCTCTCCACGAGACAGCACCTGAGCCAAGGCTGAAGCAGTAGCCCTGGGTAGACCTGAGTGTCTCGGCGTCGTCTGCCCACGAAGCGTCGGTGTGTCCAGTAAGGACCACTGGCCTGCGTTCTCCTAGCACTAACCCCATGCCTGATGTACTAGCAAGATAACGCAAACCCTCTTAGCGGCAGACCAGTGCTGCGGTCGATGTCTGCCTGTGGCTACAAAGCGAGCCAGGATGCTGAGAGGGTATGCGAGATCTGGGCGAGTGCAAGTCATCAGGTACACTAAGAGAAAAAACCGTCCGGATGTTTGGCACTAAGTTGGGTTTTTAGGCTTTGAGACTACTGTATGGTAAACCTGCAAGATGCACGGTGGTACACGTTGGGAGAGGCACAAAGTGGATGCATTCACATCACTAAGAACTAGAGTAGTACATTGGATCTAACTCATACTCCAAAAGATATACAACGAGTACATCCGGACAGTTTTTTCCCAGGACAAAGAGCAAACTTCCGAACAGCGTTTCTAGTAACTAGTCCACCTACTTTTGGCGTTGATCACCACCTGCACCCTCTTAGGCATGTTATCTACGAGGTTAGTGCAGACCTTGGCATGAAGCTTCTCGCACTCTTCCTGGACCCACCATTTTGCATAAGGGGGTGAGCACAAGGAAAATTGCGAAGTATTTGAGCGTTTGCATAAGTATTGTGCACGAATTCGGATTGAATGTTATCTCAGAGACTAGCCAAGCCGAGGGGTGGCCAAAGATGCCATTAGTTAAATGGTCCCGGCTTATCATGGGTCGTTTTCGTCGTATCATTCTAGGGTAAAATCACGAATAGAGTGGCATAATCTAGCATTCCCACCACGAAACTTAGGGCAACAGAGCACGGTCAATTGAGCATCCTTTCACTGTGTGAACCATGTTAAAATCCGCGGGTCTAGTGACGGTGCAGCAGTCGCAGAAACCTCGAATGTTTGGGAAGAATATCTGGATTGAGGTCTGGTGAGGAAAAGGGTCACTCCAGCGCAACATACTCATGCTCTCCGAGCCATTCCATGTCATTTTTCCTGCCTAGGCTTGGAATGGATTGGAGAGCATGGATATGTAGCACTGGAGTGACCCTCTTCCTTACCAGACCTCAACCCTGATATTCTTCCCAAACAGTTGAGGCTTCTTCAACTGATGCACTGTCACTAGACCCGCGGATTTTAACATGATTCTAACAATGAAAGGATGCTCAATCGACCGTGCTATGTTACCCTAAGTTTCGTAGTGGGAATGCTAGATTTTGCCACTCTATTCGTGATTTTACCCTAGAACGATACGACGAAAACGACCCATGATAAGCTAGGACCATTTAAGTAATGGCATCTTTGGACACCCCTTGGCTTGGCTAGTCTCAGAGATTACATTCAATCCGAATTCGTGCACAATACTTATGCATACGCTCAAATACTTCGCAATTTTCCTTGTGTTCACCCCCTTATGCAAAATGGTGGGTCCAGGAAGAGTGCAAGAAGCTTCATGCCAAGGTCTGCACTAACCTCGTAGATAACATGCCTAAGAGGGTGCAGGTGGTGATCAACGCCAAAAGTAGGTGGACTAGTTACTAGAAACGCTGTTCGGAAGTTTGCTCTTTGTCCTGGGAAAAAACTGTCCGGATGTACTCGTTGTATATCTTTTGGAGTATGAGTTAGATCCAATGTACTACTCTAGTTCTTAGTGATGTGAATGCATCCACTTTGTGCCTCTCCCAACGTGTACCACCGTGCATCTTGCAGGTTTACCATACAGTAGTCTCAAAGCCTTAAAACCCAACTTAGTGCCAAACATCCGAACGGTATTTTCTCTTAGTGTACATGAGGCAACCCACCAGCTCTGCGTAGGGGCCGCTGGGCTCAACCGACTCCTCAGACACTGGAGCGGAGAGTCTGTGGTCTACAGGCAGAGGGGTGGGCTGTGCAGAGGAGAACTGAAGGTTGAACCTCTGAAGGACCTGGCGCACCAAGTGTGACTGAGTCAAGGTGATGGTGCGCGCTGCTCTGTCCCTGGAGATCTGCAAGCCAAGGTAACGGCGCAGTTCTCCAAGGTCAGTGCACGTGTGTCTCTTCAGCAGCTCTGCCTTCACGGAGGCCAGTGCGTCCCTGTCTGCTGTGGCAAAGACCAGGTCGTCGACGTAAACAAGGATGTAGAACGGAGTCTGGCCAGCACGAACGAAGAGTGAGGGGTCTGCGGAAGACGGAAAGAACTGCAGGTCAGCAAGCGTAGCACGAAGAGTGTCGTGCCACTCACGGGGAGCCTGGCGCAGGCCGTAGACGGGGCGCCGCAGGAGCCACTGGGTCCCAGGAGGGAAGGTGCCAGTAAAGCCCTGAGGGCGACGCAAGTAGACCTGCTCGTATAGGCTGCCCTGAAGAAAGGCAGTAGAGAAGTCGAGGGAGTGAAGCTCGTAGTCACGCTGAGCAGCTAGGTGTAACAGAACCCGAAGAGTAGTCATCTTCGGGGTCGGAGCAAAGGACTGGAAGAAGTCCACCCCCTCACGCTGACTGAAGCCTCTAGCCACGTAGCGCGCCTTGAACACAGGCGGCTCTCCAGGAGGGCGCTTCACCTTGAAGAGCCAGCTGCCATGGACTACGTTCACCCCAGGCGGGGGAACTGCGTCGACGAAGGTGCCGGTGGATCTCCAAGATGCCATTTCCTGCTCCATGGCAGCTATCCACTGAGAGGCCCAAGGTCCCGAGGTCGCCTCAGCGTAAGTGCGAGGGGTCGGGATGTCGAAAGCGTCTGGGTCACCCTTAGGGACTAGAAGCATGGAACAGAGATGGGGAGCAGCCTCGGACAGAAAAGCAAGCTCGAACTGGCGGTCCTCCAGGACGTCACTACCAAGGGCAGGAGCACCCCCAACAGACGGAGGACAGGCAGGGTCAGAGACCAGAGCGGTGGCGTAGTCAAGGCGGCGGGTAGAGGCGAAGCAGTGCGGTGCAGGGCAGTGCGGTGCAGGGCGGTGCAGGGAGGGGGGGGGAACCGTACCAGTGAGGATGAAGGGGCCGGGGCAAGGATGAGCAGCGGGGCCGGGCAGGTGCGGCGGGGCCCGGCAGGCGTGGCGGGGCCGGGCAGGTCGCAACGGGGCCGGGCGGGTTCGACGGGGCCGAGCGGGCGCAACGGGGCCGGGCGGGCGCAACAGGGCCGGGCGGGCGCGACGGGGCCGGGCGGGTGCAACGGGGCCGGGCGGGTGCGACGGGGCCGGGAGGGTGCGACGGGGCCGGGCGGGTGCGACGGGGCCGGGCGGGTTCGACGGGGCCGAGCGGGCGCAACGGGGCCGGGCGGGTGCAACGGGGCCGGGCGGGTGCAACGGGGCCGGGCAGGTGCGACGGGGCCGGGCGGATGCGACGGGGCCGGGCAGGGGGCGACGGGGCCGGGCAGGGCGCGACGGGGCCTGAAGGCTTGACGGGGCCCCGGAGGAGCGCGACGGGGCCCAGGAGGGGCGCAGCAAGGCCCGGGAGGGTTGCAACGGGGCTAGGGGGTCGCGACGGGGCCCAGGAGGGGCGCGGCAGGGCTCGGGGCACGACGGGGCCCAGAAGTCGCTACTAGGCTGGGGGGTCGCGACGGGGCCCAGGAGGGACTCGGCAGGGCTAGGGGCACGACGGGCCCAGGGGGTCGCGACGGGGCTAGGGGTCGCGACGGGGCCCAGGGGGTCGCGACGGGGCTAGGGGGTCGCAACGGGGCTAGGGGTCGCGACGGGGCCCAGGAGGGACTCGGCAGGGCTAGGGGCACGATGGGCCCAGGGGGTCGCGACGGGGCTAGGGGTCGCAACGGGGCCCAGGAGGGGCGCGGCAGGGCTAGGGGCACGACGGGGCCCAGGGGGTCGCGACGGGGCTAAGGGGGTCGCGACTGGGCTAGGGGGTCGCAACGGGGCCCAGGAGGGGCGCGGCAGGGCTAGGGGCACGGCGGGGCCTAGCTAGGGGACGAGCGGAAGCGGTAGGTGGGGGGATCCTAACCTACGCGTGATACCATATCAAACTCAAAGAAGTGAATGATAACTAGTGAGAGAGTACAGATGATATACCTAAGTATTGTACCCTCTAAGAGGTGACCCTATACAGTCTATGCAAACATAACAAATACACATATTTGACAAAAATCTCAAGGTTAATAATGAAAAGAACACAACAAGGATTTATAGCTCTAGGAAAGTACCTATTCGCTAATGTACCTGTTCGTCACTATCGCGCTATGCACTCTAAACGATCATGAAGAGGTGCGACTGTTCGCGTGACTGAAACGACTGTCCTATGACGAGCGCTATTTGCTGACGTCATCCTACGGACTTATGTTCTATAGTAGGATTCGACACTATCTACACCTAATCGACTTACATAAATGCTAAGTATCAATTATATCACAACAACACAAACACATGGAAAACCTCAAGTGTTAGCCTAGGATCTTTACTGGAATGGTAGACTATTAAGACAGCAGGAGTCTTGTAAGAGTGAACCTGATTATATAATTCTGTGGAAGTCAAGTCTCAAGTTCTCAAAGTTGAAATCTCAAGGTTAGACAGCAAGGATTTATAGCTCTAGAAAAGTTTCTATTCGCTAACGTACCTGTTCGTCACTATCGCGCTATGCGCCCTAGATGATAATGAAGAGGTGCGACTATTCGAGTGACAGAAACGACTGTCCTATGACGAGCGCTATTTGCTGACGTCATCCTACGGACTTACCTTCTACAGTAGGATTCGACACTATCTATCGATAAACGACTTACAGAGATGCTAAGTATGAATTATACCACAACACTGGATATTCTTTACTCGTTACCAACGTTCTTATCGTTGCTGAAAGGCTTTTGTGTCCAGAATTATAACTGCTGCCTGCGATCTGAGAAACCAGAACGGATACACAATAACTTAGATGAAAGGCTTTTGTGTCCAGAATTACAACTGCTGCCTGCGATCTGAGAAACCAGAACGGATACACAATAACTTTGCTGCTAGTTTGAAAAGACTGCAATTTTTTGTCCTTCACAAACCTGGGAATGGCACCTGCCCTAGCTGTCCTATCATTGCTGACCATTAACAGAAGCCACCCTTGGCTTTTGTGGGTTTCTTCGTGTCAGAGATCACAATGTTGGCCTTGGCTTGTTGCTGTCCAGAAAACCAGATTGACATATGATTTCAGGCAAAAGACGAAGGGGTGAGAAAAAGCACCGAAGTACAGTCCAATCCAGGATAGTGCAATGAAATTAACAGCATAAAAGAGGCATGACTTCAAGCAGTGTAAGCAACAAGGTCGCACACAACCTGGTCCAGCCGCATCTCTGCCACACCACAACTTCCATTCATTCACCCAATTGAACAGCTATGTTCCGAGACCATACATGGAACACACACACCGATCCATAGGTGCCACATCTACAAAACTTTCACATGAATGAAGCATACCTCTGGTCGTTCCTCTGCGCTCTCTGCCAGTCGTTGCTTGATGTCCCGGGCAATGGTGAAAAATACATTGTCCACATTCAAATTCGACTTGGCACTCTGGTAGTAAACATCCGAAATGCAGGGAGATGCACAATGCATGTCAATATCAGACAAAGTTGGGTATCTGAAAAAACATAGCACGAGCGCTATTGTTCGCCAGATTCAGCATAACTCACCGCTTCAAAGAACTTGATGTTAAATTCATCTGCTAGTGCTTGACCACGAGCAGCAGGAACAGCCTGTCAGTGGCCCAGGCCAAACAGGCCCAAACGAGAATCGGCATTCACCACATTACATTTTTAAGTGGAGTACGACAAGCATTTAAAATCCTGTATGGTGAACAAAGAAGCATGTAACAACAGAAGGCCTACAGTTTCGAGTAGGGCATTAAACATGGCAACCAAATGGGAAGGAGGAACAGAGCTCACCCGTTTGCTTTCGTCCATGTCCGCCTTATTTCCTACGAGAATTTTGTTAACATTTTCTGACGCGTGTTGCTCAATGTTACGGATCCAGTTACGGATATCTGCAACCAAGGTGAAAAGGTGATGAAGACCGAGTCCCAGGTGAACCGGGAAAATGCAACATGTCGAGGAGCTTCTCACAGTCAATATCCAAAGCATACAAGAAGCTTACTGTTGAAGGACGACTCGTCAGTGACATCGTAAACGAGAAGAATGCCCATAGCCCCTCGATAATAAGCTGTAAAAATGAAGCGGGAGAACTTATGATTGAGGAACATTTTTAAAACAAGCAGCAACGATTGAGAGGTAGAAATTCATAGCTGCTCTCGGGAGGTTGATTGACCTGTTGTGATGGTGCGGAAGCGTTCTTGTCCAGCAGTATCCCAAATTTGCAGCTTTATGCGCTTTCCATCGAGCTCAATGGTTCGAATTTTGAAGTCGATTCTGCACAGATGCATCGCCAATGAAAAGCAACGCACTAAACGCAAGACGTACGCTACCACGTAGTCCTAAGAGCGTGCGATCATGTGCGGGGCAACCACCGTGGAACCACGACTATCAGCTGGTTAGGGTTCGGAACGTACCCAATGGTTGTGATGAACGATGTTGTGAAAGAATCGTCTGAAAACCGCAGCAACAAGCAACTTTTCCCGACACCTGAAGCATCACGAAAAAAAAAACCAGAGAGTGGTGAGAGAATGTCTTTGTGTCTGTCGCGCATCTGCGCGCATGTTTGCCTGCAAGTAAAAAACACGTGTAAGCGAGATGGGCGAAGTATCGCTGCCGGCAAACGACAGACTGCGCGCGTGAAGGATACAAAGCGCCCAGTGAAGCGAACTTTAAAGTAGATGATATCTCGCCAAAAAACCGCGCATCTTGACTTAAAAAGGGGAGACAATAGGAAGGGGACTTAGAAATCAGCCACATATGGCGACGAGCTACTAACCAGGAAAGTCTCACAACAGGCCTCCTAAAAGGAAGCATTGTGAAGTACAGGATACAGCGACCACGGGCTTCTACGACCACGCAAGGTATTGCACTGACCGCTGTCTCCGATGAGCAGGAGCTTAATGAGGTAGTCATAATCCGCTCGAGCCCTCCCTCCACCTCCTCCACTCGCCATCTCCCTATAAGATCGGAACCCACTAATGCGTCGCCCGAACGTGAAACGGTTAAATTTAACGTGATCAGGCCGCCTTTCAAACTATGGATTAACGCCGAATCAATGTACCGCAATGTAGATCGACTGAACTACTAGGAGTTTGAATGTAGCCAGATCTAGTATTACTGCTGGAAAAATAGCCCTACACGTACAAACAGTATTCAGAGCTTTGTGATGGCCGGAGGCTGCAATGGCCTGCAGCACTTATTCGATCAGGCGAGCCTGACCCTAGCAAGCGACTGAACTTGGGAGCTTGCTGGTAACACTCGAAGTCAACCTCAACTCTGCAGTTGTGAGGGACAGGAGTGATTGAGGCAAAACCCTAGCATTGGAGGGACGAGGGTGATGGGAAAGGGGAGGGAAGAGATGGGTGAGAGGATGGTGCAGGTTGAAGGATGTGATGGGTGGTGGGTGGGCGATGCGTTTGAAAGTGCCCCCGGCCGGCAAAAACGGGTCCTCAGTCGTGAGGCGGCTTAGAAGGTTACATGTAAACCGTTGTTGTTATGAATTAATCAGAGTAATAACAGGTAGTGTAATAAAGTAGTCATGATTCAAGAGTGTCGATACAAATGAGGGCCTAGGCATTTATAGGCACGAACAGAGCTAGCCGAGAACCATGCGAACAGGTTGGGGCGGTCCGGTTGGCGAAAGCCACGGAAGCGCCGCGCGTCTAGGTTTGGGTTTACGACCAGGGTCCTCGACATCTGACAAAATCCGTCTGATTGTCTGATTTTCAGACTTTTTTTTAGGCGTTCATCTGATTTTTTAGAAACCCAATTATTGAATTTCTGATGCCCTAGAAAGTTATTTTGTATCCTTCTGATATTTCAGAATGGGTGTACGCGTCCTTCTAGTGTTACAGACTTAGCGAAATTTCTCATCTGAAACGGATCTCTGTAGGTTGCATGAGGATCTTGATTGGTCCTTCGACAAAATCACCACCCAATACCTGCTTCAAGGTGTGTGAGTAGCACCAATTTTTTCACCAATTAGCGCCTTCATAACCCGATGCATGCTGCAGTCTGTGTGAGGCCGCTAGTATCAAAATTGAATAATGATTAGAATGCATGAGTACAAGGGTATATGACCTAAGGGCTGTACCCTCTAAGGCACAAACCTATACAGTCTATTCAAACATAACAATATATGTTTGACACACCCCCTAGACTGCATAGGGGCAGTTCCTGACGTGAGTGCAAGCAACTCAGAGTGGCACTACTAGTCCAACCTCTGAGGCAAGGGTCTAAGGATCAGTCAAACGAGTACAGACAAATGCAAGAGCAAGTCCAGGGCGGCACTACTAGTCAAGCCACTGGGAGAGGCCACAAGGCCAGTCAAAGGGTAAATAAAAATATAAAGGACTGTACATAGTCAAGGCCCTAGCAGGTGAGAGGATACAGGAACGAGACCTAGCTGTACACAGTGCCGCTGATGATCTTTAGGCGTAAACGCCTTAGTAAAGATATCAGCTGTGTTGGGAACGGAGGCCAAGTGTACTACGCGGGCCTGGCGACGCTGCTGTAGCTCGCGCAGGAGGAAGTACCGCAGCTGGATATGCTTCGCTCTGCCCTCAAGCCGAGGCTCCTGACACAGGAGAATCATGGCCCTGTTGTCAGCGTACAGGATCGGGGCAGAGCTAGGCCGCTCACCTAAGTCAGAGAGCAAGAAGGTCAGCCAGCGAAGCTCCTGTGCCGCCATGGCACCAGCGTAGATCTCAGCCTCACAGCTAGACTGAGCAACAGACGAGGAGCGAGTAGCTCTCCACAAGACAGCACCTCAACCAAGGCTAAAACAGTAGCCCTGCGAGGACCTAAGGGTCTCAGCGTCGTCTGCCCAAGAAGCGTCTGTGTGCCCAGTAAGGACCATTGGCCTGTGTCCTCCCAGCACTAACCCCATGCTTGATGTCCTCACGAGATAACGCAAAACCCTCATAGCTGCAGACCAGTGCTGAGGCCGGAGTCTGCCTGTGGCCACAAAGCGAGCCAGGATGCTGAGAGGGTATGCGAGATCTGGGCGCGTGCAAGTCATCAGGTACATGAGGCAACCCACCAGCTCTGCGTAAGGACCACTGGGCTCTACCGACTCCTCAAGAACTGGAGCAGAGAGCCTGAGATCTACTGTAAGAGGTGTGGGCTGTGTGGAGGAGAACTGAAGGCCGAACCTCTGAAGGACCTGGCGTACCAAGAGTGACTGAGTGAGAGTAATGGTGCGCGCTGCTCTGTCCCTGGAGATCTGCAGGCTGAGGAAGTGGCGCAGCTCTCCTAGGTCAATGCAGGTGTGTCTCTTCAGCAGCTCAGCCTTCACAAAGGCCAGTGCGGCCATGTCTGCAGTGGCAAAGACCAGATCAACTACGTAAACAAGGATGTAGAACGGATTCTGGCCAGAACGAACGAAGAGCGAGGGGTCTGCAGAGGACGGAAAGAACTGCAGGTCTGCAAGGGTAGCGTGCAGCGTGTCGTGCCACTCGTGGGGCACCTGGCGCAAGCCGTAGACTGGGCGCCGCAGGAGCCACTGGGTCCCAGGAGGGAAGGTACAAGTGAAACCCTGATGGCGGCGCAGGTAGATCTGCTCGTGTAGGCTGCCCTGAAGAAAGGCAGTGGAGAAGTCGAGGGAGTGTAACTCGAAGTCACGCTGTGCTGCTACGTGTAGCAGTGCCCGAAGAGTAGTCATCTTCGGGGTCGGGGCGAAGGTTTGAAAGAAGTCCACCCCCTCACGCTGACTGAAGCCTCTAGCCACGTAGCGTGCATTCAACACAAGTGTCACCTTGAAGAGCCAACGGCCATCGACTACGTTCACCCCAGGTGGGGGAACTGCGTCGACGAAGGTGCAGGTGGATCTCCAAGATGCCATCTCCTGCTCCATGGCAGCTATCCACTGAGAGGCCCAAGGTTCCGAGGTGGCCTCAGCGTACGTGCTAGGGGTCGGGATGTTGAAAGCGTCTGGGTCACCCTCAGGGACTAGCAGTATGGAGCAGAGATTGGGAGAAGCCTCGGACAGGAAAGCAAGCTCGTACTGGCGGTCCTCCAAGACGTCAATCCCGAGGGCAGGAGCACCCTTGACAAACGGAGGACAGGCAGGGTCAGAGACTAGAGCGGTGGCGTACTCAAGGCGGCGGGTAGAGGCGAAGTCAGCGACCGCAACGACAAGAGCGTCAAGACACGAGACCGGAACACACGGGTCGGTAACAAGAGAGGCAAGGACCCGAGAAACAAGAGGACGAGCGGCGCGAAGGTAGTCAGACAGAGGGGGAGGCCACAAGAGGGGAAGGACGGGGAAGACGAGCCGGAGACAACGCGGGAGTGAAAGAAACAGTGAGTCGACGATTGGTAGAAGTGCCAGTCAGACGAGTCGAGGGGGAAATGAAGGAAGACACTGGGGTCAGTGCGGGAAGTGAGCTTGTCCATGCCAGAGGCATGGTCGTGGGCAAGGCAGCCCCAGACGTGAAACGTAGACGCGTCCCCAGGAGACTCAGACCAAAGAAGGGTCGGCGAAACCTGCGGCTGCTGGGAGTGCAGCCACAGGTTAAGCTGGTGAGCTGCGTAGCGAACGGCGAACGGCCACAGAAAATGGGGTGCAGCGGCATGGATCATGGAGGTATGAGCCACCCCCATGACCAAACCGATGCGATGCTTAGCGACCCCATTCTTCTGCGCGGAGTCCGGCAAGGTGAACGTCTGGGTGATGCCCTCCGTACGACAGAAACGACCAAGGACACCAGAGGCAAACTCGCCACCACGGTCGGAGTGGAGACGCAAGACAGGGAGACCGCGGTGGATGCTCGCAGAGACAAGCCACGGGATGAGAACGTGAGGCACGTCGGCCTTCCGCTCCAAGGGAAACACCATGGTGTAGCGCGTGTAGTCGTCGACAAGCACAAGGAAGTAGCGCTCTCGACGCGGCCCATGGACTGGGGCGGGGCTCCAGACGTCCATGTGCAAGGTCTGTAGCGGTGCGGCGGTGGGGGGGAACGAGGAGGAGTGAGGGGCACGGCGGAGCCAGGCACGAGGGGCCGGCTAGACCGGGCACTAGGGCCGGCTGGAACGGGCGCGAGGGCCGGCTGGAACGGGCGCTGGGGGGCCGGCTAGAACGGGCGCTAGGGGGGCGGCGGCAGGAACGGGCACGAGGGCCGACTGGAACGGGCGTGAGGGGCCAGCTAGAACGGGCGCGAGGGCCGGCTGGAGCGGGCGCGAGGGCCGGCTGGAGCGGGCGCTAGGGGGCCGGCTAGAACGGGCGCTAGGGCCGGCTGGAACAGGCGCGAGGGCCGGCTGGAACGGGCGCGAGGGGGCCGGCTAGAACAGGCGCTAGGGGTTTGGCAGGAACGGGCGCTAGGGCCGGTTCAGCTAAGGGGGGGGGGGGGGCGGGTAACGGGCGGCTAGGACCTAGAGCGGAAGCGTGGGCGGGCGGTGGGACCTACCTACTCATGATACCATATCAGAATTGAATCATAATTAGAAGGCATGAGTACAAGGGTATATGACCTAAGGGCTGTACCCTCTAAGGCACAACTCTATACAGTCTATACAAACATAACAATATATGTGTGACAGCTAGTATTAGAAAGTTAACGAAATGAGGCTAGGAAGCTATGGCCGGGACGCGGCGGTTTCGCTAGGAGAGAAAGTTACGAGAGAAAAGAGAGCGAGAATAGAAAAGAGAGGGAAACAAGGAGGGGGTTGTACCCTCTACAGTAGGTTTCGGTAGTAGCTAGTTGACAGCTAGTTGACCCTTAGCTGATTTGTGTGGGAGAAGGGGATCACCTCGCCTGAGGGTGGCTGGCTTTGGCTGACCCTCACCAACCAATGTGCGCGAACTCAACTTGCGAGGGCCTTGCCTCCCGCCCGCCCGCCCCCTTCAATTTCAATCCCCCCCCTTTCAATTTCAATCCCCCCCCTCACCTCCCCCACCCAGACAGGGTTCTCGCTAGGGCCCTCCCCTTTTCCCGCTCCCGCAGGCCTGAATCATCGCATTGGCAGTCATCCCTCCAATCAGAACCTCTCACGACATTGAACCCCCAAACCTTCCTCCGCACACGCCCAAGCTGCCCAAGGACCTCGGGCACTAGGAAACGTACTCAAATATAAGGTCGTGGAGGCTAATATGGCCCTTGTAGGTTAGCCTAGAAATTGAAATTAGGAACTTCTGAAATTTTAGAAACAGCACGACGATTCGTCTGATTTTTTAAACACTGAAAAATTGTTCGGAGGGTCCGTCTGATGGCCTAGAAAGTGCCTAGAGCCTAGCGAGAGCCTTGTTCACGACATGGTTTGGGACCGAAGTAGTTGGCCGAGCCTGGACTTCCGAGAGTCGAAGGC